GGCGGCCTCGCGCCCTTGCCCCGCGCGCGGCGGGCGGGAGCGGGGAGGCGCCTTGGGCCTGGAAGGTTCTAGAGCGCGCGGGGTGGAGGGGTCCGCTGAGGGGCCGGGTCGGCCTCTGGGACCGGCCGGGGCTGCGGCGGGGAGGCCGCGGGCGGTTCCCGGTCCCGCCGGAGGGGCTGTGTGGCCCGCACGGGGGATGCGCTGTGGGCGGGAGGGAGGCCGCCTCTTCCCTCCCCTCGGGCTCCGAGGAGGCCCGCAGAGGCGGCGGCGGGTCCCCGGGCGTGAGGCGAGGGGCCGTGGCCTGCGGGGAGCTGCTCTCCCCCCGCGGGGAGTCCCCTACCGCACCCCGTTGGTTTTTTGTTGCGAGAGCGCGGTGTAACGGGCGTAAACTATAGGCAGAAATTGCGCCGTGATCACGCAGCAAAGTAAGAAATCGCGGTACTCTTTTAAGAGGGTTGATACATTTATTCCTTTGCGATTTGATCCTAATTCATTTAAGGCCTTCGGTCTTCTGCAAGTATTAGTCTTTAACGGGATGTATTTGTTATTGATACAATTAATTTCCATGGAAATGCAAAAAAAAAAAAAAAAAAAAAAATTAGGATTCAACACAAGTACCGAAATAGTAAAGCCCCAGCATGCTCAGTAACTAGATTTCTCAGGTTCTGCTGGGTGTGCCTGCCTTTGGGCTGTCTGGATTTGATAGTTAGCCACGCAGAACAGCAACACACACCAACCAAACAGAGGTTGCCATAAACTAAGGTACTGGTAACGATGTTTCAAGCTGATAGATCTTACCAGAGAACGTGGTAATGCAGTCTCTTGGAGTAGACTGCGATCTGTCATGTAATCTTGTCATGTGATGATGGAATTGCAAGATATATTCATGTTGATGCTTTCTTAAAAATCTGTCTTGACTATATCTTATATCAAAACTAAATGGGGTATAGAAATAAAAAAAATTAATAATAAAAGCATTGTTTAGGTTGTCAGTGTCAGGGATTTGTTTTTTAAATGCAATGTTTTATTAAAGCTAAAGGAATATGCTTATGTTAACTCTGTTTTAGGCGTCCCTTTCTCTTGCTCCTGTGAACATTTTCAAGGCAGGTGCAGATGAAGAAAAGGCAGAAACAGCTCGGTTGGTAAGTTTAATTCTCTAGGAAACTTGTAATACTTGGGGTAATTAAACTTCATCTTTTGTACTGTTAAATGTACTTTCAGTTTATGGTGATGTGGAACCTAATCTGTCTCATTAGTTATTATTGTTGCACATCTGTGAACGGAAGGTAGAAGGAGTGTTGTTAACACTGACAGTTAGAGAAACTCCTCGTAAGTGTTCAAAAATTGAGTAACTCAGCTCAGAAGACTGATGTTCATTGGATGGCATGTCTTGTGGCTGTGAGACAGGCTTTTATAGTTTCTGTGAGAATTAAGTATATTTGATCTGGTTATCAAGATGTAGTAGTTGAGAAACTTGGACCCAGACGTGGGTGTAGCTGTGGAAGGGTTAGGTTGAGATGTCTGCTTGAAAGTTACGGGTAGCATCTACTTTTTGTGTTAAAGTAGAAATGCATCCTTTTCTGAGGTATATTTGCTTTCATTTCAGTCATCCTTTGTTGGTGCCATTGCTATTGGTGACCTGGTCAAGAGCACTCTGGGGCCTAAAGGCATGGTAAGATAACTGCAAGTTCTCAGTGATAATACCTGTTAATTTAGTTTTAATAGTTACAGTGTGTTTTCGAGCAGTATTCTAAATCTTGTATCTTGTAGGACAAGATTCTTTTAAGTACTGGAAGAGATAGCACGGTAACAGTGACCAATGATGGTGCTACCATCCTGAAAGCTATTGGAGTTGACAACCCAGCTGCCAAGGTCTTGGTTGGTGAGTTTTTAACAGCTTGTCATTGGAGTACTTGGCATTTCTTCATTGTAACTTTATTATGTAGCTTTCATTTGTTCTTAGAAAAGTAGCCTTTAAATTATGTGGAAAAATTGAAGGGAGAGAGAGCAGAATTCCTGA